CATTCCCATGTTATTACGGTGTATCCATATAAATGGCCCATCCTGTAGATTAGATAAGACCCGGAAGGGGCGTGTTTGGAGGTGTGGTCCCACTCCTGAAAGTCAGATCATTTATCTCCAATAAATCTTACTTTATGACTTTTGTCCATAGTAGTCCCTATAGCATAACTGATGTGATTGTATGTGTATACGTTTGTGTGTGTGCTTATGCTTAAGCTTATCAGTGCTTTCCCAGGGAGCCCCCCCCCCCTTTCTCTCCTGGGAATATGAAGCCATGTGTGTGTGCAAGTCCTGTCCTAAAACAAAACCAAAAAAATGAAAAAAGGACCAAAAAAAAGAAAACTAACATAGAAAAGAATAAACTGCTCACACACTGCAGAACTCTAATCTTTTGAATTTAATGCATTTGCTGGTGTTGGACATTTTAAGAGTGCCCTCTCTTCACCACGCAATGAAAAGGCCTGATAAAGATGGTCAGCACCATCATAGATCACATTAATTGGCTGAGTAGGTTTAAAACATGTCTATTCAGGTGTACCAAAGATTATACTGTTAGATATTGTCTCAGGCATTATATATATCGTTTCTGGATTTGTCGAGATGTAATTCTTCACGTACTTGTTCTTATAAGTTTCCTTTTTGTTTTTCTAGTTAGTCTCATAACTCATGCAAAGACAATATGTATTACTCGCAGATGATTCATTTATTAACTATTTTTCCAATGTAATACGTGGTTCTGTTTGAATATTATTATCACTGGTCGCGGTCATATGACCTATCACAGTTTATTCAACATGGCGCCGCTCTGTGTTTCATTATCTGATGAAGAGCAGGTGTGTAGGAAACTTCATACTCTACTTGATGCAGAGTTTGGCAGTGTGCGAAATGTTTCCTGAGATGCTGGTACTCAGAAATCCCTTGCTCTGCTGTTTGAAATGTGGGTAAGGTCCTTCAGAAAGCGATTTCACCTCAGCATTTATTTATTATTAAACACATTCATGTACAGTACATGAATTTAGACAACGCTGCTAAGAGGAAAAAACAGAATACACATGACTGAACAGTGACCAGAATTACTCTCTGCATGGGAGCGAGTGAGTTTTCATGCTACCACAGACTCCAACAATAACAGTGGCATCACATTCATAACAGTGAACTTTAGATCCTGCTCAGGCAGGCTCTAAAGTTAACAGAGGCAAAGCTGCTCTTAGTGTAGACATGGTCATAAGATAATAAGTCATGGGTGAAGCTTAAATGCCGCAATACAGATAAGAAGTAAAGTAAAATAAGTCAAAATGAATGTGTGAAGTAACTTTCAAGATAAACATCAGAATGTGCTTCACAAGAAGAACTCAATTTATTATTTAAAACTGAAAGTCGTCCAATAAGATTTCAATTAATAAAAAAACAAACAGCCAATCTTAACTTGTCTGAACATTTAATAAATTCGTTTTTATATGGAAGGACCTATAAGTTTCAGTTTATGAGCAGTAACCCTAAACAGTAACCCTTAGCATCTAGATTCAGTGGTAAAACTAACATTATTAAAGGCATAAAAAATAAATATTTACCTTGAATGGATGAAAAGGACCAGAAGATTTTTGTTTTGCCTGAGCTTTTGGCTATTAGATAGAAATTTGTTGGACTTAAAGAGCAGAATTGGAGAAATTATTAGCATTAATGTGTCCTTAAAACAAAACAGCAGTTCATTGTTGCTGAGGCTGCCACATTCAATACTCCAAATATAACACGTACTTCTACAAAAATTGATGCATTAATACTTTTTGCAATAAATTTTCCTCCATAAGGTTTAAAAAGTAGCAAAACAGACACAGTGTTGGAAACAGTGTAGTGCAGTAGTGGACTGGCCTGTTAAAAGCATGGTGCCTGTTTTTAATTCATTATGTAAGAGTAGTGAGACAGACAGGTAAGTTTGCCAGCTGATAGGTTAGCTGAGCTCCTCCTGTTTCGGTGTGCCAAAGCAGACCACAACTCTCCGTTAAGTTTACTTGAGGTGGTGAATATCATGTGTCAACACATGACACCAGCTACTGTACACCCCGGGAAATCCAGCAAGTTGGCCTAGAGGGACCTAGAGGTCCTGTGAGATTGATTCAGAAGTGCTTCTGCTAGTCAAAAAACACTTCAAGGACCTTGTGAGACCAACAATGTTTAATGTTACATCATCTTTGAACCACAGAAACAACTAGAAAAGTGAAAGCGGTTGTCTCTCTGTGTCAGCCCTGTGTAAGGCTGGACACCAGTCTGCCTCTCACCCTACTGCAGCTGGGATAGGCTCCAGCCTCCCATCGACCCTGAATTGGAAAAGCAGAAGAAGATGGATGGATAGATTTTCTTTGCTATATTTTATAGTCCTGCTGACTAATGTGGCCTTGCCCCAGGCCTACTGGTTTCCTGGAAAGATTCTTGACTGTGGCTCCACCATTGTTCTCTATGCAGTAAAAAGCAGAGTTAGCTGTGTGTGACTGGAAGACTCAAACTGACGCATGCATCATATATTTGACACAGCAGTGGTACATTTGAGAAATCACTCCACCGTGATACAAAGGTAGGTGTGTGTGTGTGTGTGTGTGTGTGTGTGTGTGTGTGTGTGTGTGTGTGTGTGTGTGTGTGTGTGTGTGTGTGTGCCTAATAGTAATAAATTGCAATAAATAAATTGCTAAGTCTGATCTTTATAGAAATGGCAGTATGACGTTGACATACTGGGAACAGGTCAAAGTGAGCGAAAAGTCAAACTACAGCTCTCATGCATCATGGCCTGACTAAAATATATTGTGAAAGGACTGCTACTTAATGCTTTCCTACTCTTTCTTACTACAAGCCTCATCCACCCACTCTCAAATACACAAACACGCTTTTCTTTCTTTTTTTATGTTTTAATGTGTTTTTTTGTCCCGTGTCAGTTTTCACTGGGATAAAGTTTATATATATATATATTTTTGCACCCTTGTGCTTTCTTGGCATGCTTTCTTTTAAGTTTCAGACAAATTGAAAACCAGTTAAGCTACCATTTAAACTGCTCCTGACTACTGTTACATAAGGTGCTAACTTGACACAAATCTAATCCAAGCTGGGTCCATTCACCCTGGTGGATTTCAGAGGCTTTTGGCGAGACCAAATCACATGTGCAGCTGTATATTGTAAGAAAGCAGCAGGGGAAACGGCAGCACAGCCCGAACTAATTACGAGATGCCTAATTTGATTAATATTATTCTGGAATACATGAATAAAATGAATCGTTGATTAGCCTAACCTTTCGGCATCAACCAGTTCATCAATGCTGTTTTTTTGGCCTAAGACTAGAGTTCATTTGAACTTCAGTTGTTACTTTATGGACAGAAAAAGCTTAAACTAAGCAGACTTATATAACAGGCTTCTAGTAAATCCTACCTGCATCTTAACTATTTTTACTTTTTATTTTATTGCACACAACAGGAGGTGTTTGTCAAAGTCTTTGCTGTTTTGCAGAACTGCTGTAATAAGTGAACGTTGTTTCTCCCTGTACAAAACTATTCAAGCAATTTAATTTGTTACTGTAATTGTTATGCAGTGTCACAGCTGTTTTGTTCTCATTTTAATTTACCAGCAGTCATTTGTAGTCCAGCAGTTGCTGGGGCTGGGACAGATGATCAACCATGTGTCCCTCTTGCTGTCTGCATTATAATCAAATAGTCTGGATTTCAATCTGGGGCTTTTCCTGTCGTATTGTAGGAGACTGCATGCCGGGAATGTTTAAAAGCTGACATCACCAAAAACAGGCTCATAAAATGTTTCTAATTTGTTGCAGGACACTACAGGATTTGTAGTTACGAGTTAAGTGAATAATAGCAGATGCTGTACCCGTATCATTTTTGGTGTTGCTTATTCAATTTTGTCATCTGACTTCAATTACTCTCAAATATTTATGCACATGATTGATACGCACGTGATTTCGAATGCCGGGATTTGTTTTTAGATGTGCTGGGTGTGGAAATGATCGCTCGCTGAAGAGAGAAAGCTTCTCACTCATAACAACTGTGCTCTCTGTTGTCAGAGTAGCTGATGTTATCGGCAACGAACAAGGCATGAAAGGATTTTTTGGCATCTGTTCTGAGTCCTTCTGCTGTATAATATGCGTGCACAAATGCCTCGCTGGCCCATGCCTTTAGGCCATGATGCAATCCAGATTAGCTCTGGATGGGAATGATTCATGCCCGGATTTATTAGAGTAGAGGAACAAAAAACAAAACAAAAACCGCACACAGACTTACAAGAGTAACGCCTGTGATTTAAATCAGACTAAACTAGTCATCCTTTATGAGCGAGTCTTCTTATTTGCTGGTTTCTCTGCCACTATAAAAAAGGAGCCCGACCAGAGGTGTGTTATAGTGATGACTGCTTGTCGGCCAATGGTGCACGGCTGATTGCCAGAATTTTGGCAAGGAGGTGAAACGTGGACAGAGGGAGAAAATATTACAATTCATTTAAAAATGCAAAATATGAGCTTGGAGGAGCGAGTGCTCTCTGAGCAGCCTTTTAGTTTAATTTCATTTGCAGTATTAGGCATCTGTAGGCATCTATAGTCCTATAACATGTAAGTATTTGCATGCTAATATATTGATAATAATATCAGTTTATACACCAAAGTTGGTTAAACTTGGTAATGTAGTAGATCACACATTTGACTAACAAGCAAAAGATCCCTCCTGGGAGGAGACACACATCCTTTTGGGGTTTGCCTCATGAAGGGCGTCCTGCATAGAAATCTACAACGTGAAATATGCAGGGCTACCTGCTGCGGGACCCCATTGTGAATCCGCTAAAAGTAGTAGCCTTGGTTTAGCATTTGTGCAAATTAAACACAACATATGTCTGGAGCATGTGTGAATGCTGCACCGAAAAACATTGTGTTTTTTCTACTGTCGTATTTTTTGGTTTTTTTTGCTCATCTTTGATATTTCAGGAAGGCGTACATATTCTTTGCTCTTTGTTTTTGACAGAGTTGAACATGGAGTACAATCCATCAGACCATCCACGGGCGAGCACAATATTCCTCAGCAAATCACAGAATGACGGTGAGTGGCTTGGTTTCATAGAATTTCACATAACAGGAAATTTGTCTGTTTATTAGGGTTTTCGGTTCTGGTAATTAAATAATTTAATCACATTTGATACTCACTTGAGAAAGAAATATAGAGAAGGTCAGAAAGAGTTGCATTGTGTCTTTTTATAGATCTAGAGGAAGCATATGATAGGATGCCAAGAGACAATCTGTGGTACTGCATGAAGAAGTCAGGCAGCAAGACAGTGGTGAGGTGTATGATAGCAATGACAGATGGGTTCAAGGTGGGCGTGGGATTCAATTAGGAATTGGCTGCGAGTCCCTTTTTGTCTCAATTGTTATGGACAGGTTGACAGATGAGGGTTAGTCGGGAGTCTCCGTGGACTATGATGTTCACAGACAACATTGTGATCTTTAGTGAGAGTCAGGATCAAGTGGAAGAGAGCCTGGAGAGGTGGAGGTATCCAGTGGAGAGAAGAGGTTTGAAAGTCAGTTGTTATTGAAGGTAGATGTGTTCAAATACCTGGGGTCAAACATCCAAAGCAACAGAAAGTGCACAAGAGAGGTGAAGAAGAGTCTGCAGGGAGGGTGGAGATGAGTGGAGATGAGTTTCAGAGGTGATTTATGACAGAAAGACAGCAACAAAAGTGAAAGGAAAGAAATACAAGATGGAAGTGAGACCTACGATGTATGGTTTGGAGATGACGGCAAGAAGACAGGAGGTGGAGCTGAACGTATTATGATTTCCAAGGACGATGAATGTGGAGATGCCAGACAAAAAAGAGACGAGGAAGGCCACAGAGAACATTGATAGATGTACTGAAGGAGGACATGTAGAGGGTTTGTGTGACAAGGAGCAATGTTAGGACAATGTGAGACAGAGACAGAAGATCTGCTGTGATGATCCATAAAGGGAGGAGCTGAAAGACACGTAACAGGTTTCCAGTGTTTAGTTTTGATGTAATTATATACAACAAGACAAAAACCCAACATTTAGAAAGCACAGTTTGCAAAAAACATACAGATAGTGTTGTATATTTCAGAACACAGTTTTGGCTTTATTGACGTTAGCTTGACACGCTGCACTTCCTGTTATCAGCACTGCAAGTTGCTCAAATGCAGTCACAATAAAGAGGGTGTGGGGAAAAAGTCTGGACACGTAAATGTTTGCAGCCAGCTGAATTTGTGCTGTTGCATTAAGACTTTTAGCTTCCTGTTGGGGAAGGCTTGCACATATAGAGAGAAAGTGTTACTAAGATCCATTAACGTCCCAGCATGAGATTGTTGTTGTTGCTGGAATTTCAGAAACAACTATAGATGCTTGCTTTTTATTGCTTTTTAATATTTTATATTGGATTGAATTTCTTTTTGTACGAAGCGTATGAACTTGTTCATGTAGAGAACATCCAAGTGACATTTGATTAATGTTCCTCCTCCAAACAAAGAAGGAATAAAATGATGTGAGATGTGAGTTTTTTTTAAAATATAATCATTGCTTAATATCTGCAACATTTAGAAACAAACTCCATCTTTTTTATGGCTTTAAACAAAAAAAAAAATTGTGCTTTTATAGCTTTCTTTTCTGAAGTCAAAGAATCCCCTAAAGACATCAGTGTTAAATAAATTATACTTGCTGATATTGCTCATGTAGTCACAGAGTGATGTAAGCCTTTGTGCCTCTGAGCTGTTTTATTATCCAGAAATGCTCCAAATATAAAAGCAGTGTTTGCAATTTGTTTTTAACTCTGTTTGCTTTTGGTCTTTTCATATTATCTCTTGTACTAAAAATATGATGCAACACTAGCTCTATCCTTTAATACAGGACTGAGCCTCAACCAAGTCTCAACCAACACCTCATTTCTTAATATTTAGTTAGAAAAATGCAAACGACATGCAGCATTTTACTGAAACGTGCAAATTCACATTGAAATACAGGATGTAAGACAAAAACAGAGTTTGTGCTATTCAGTGTGCTTGAAAGCCAATGTTTGAATATTTGACCACCTTTATTCTTCAGCACAGCCTAAACTCTCTTTAAGTGGTGTTAAGTGGAACCCAAGTTCCCTGAAGGATATTACAAAAGGCATCTTTGGATATTGGCTGCCTTTTGTTATGTTTGTTGTCCATTTGTCATTGCCCCTTTTCCTCTTTTTGGGAATGACCTTGTTGGCATGGGCATAACTTTGTGCTGAACATTGGGGGGGGTCAAGATCTCTGTCTAAATAAATAAATAAATCTGGGTAAATTCCCAGATGATTAAACATGCAACTATTTTGCTGGTAATACCTGAAATGAGTAAAGAAAATCAACAGCCTATTTATGCAAGATAGTTCATAATTTTATTGAGGGGGTTACATTGGTTGGGTCTGATTATTGGGGGGGGGGGGCATAACCCCCCTGAAAATTACGCCCCTGCTTGTTAGTGCAACACTACAGTTTTATTACGGCGTGTTTCTTAGTTTCACCTAAAATGAGAACAAATTATGCGTTTTTGTAACAGACTGCTACTAACAATGTGCCTACAGATACAATTTAAAACTGGTTTATACAGAAAATCATCATTATACAAAGGCTGAACTAAAAATGAGCGACAACACAGCAGCCAGTGTCTAAAGACAAGAAAAAAGACCTTTAGAAGGACTGGAAAACTATTGCCTGAGGCCACTTTAAAAGAATTACACATCTGTCTCCTTGAAAGCAAAATATTAAGAAATGAGTGATGGCTCATGACTGCACAGCTCTGTATTCTGTTTAAAATTCATAGTACTTGGCTTATGAGCATAAAAATGTTGGACAAGTTCTTCAGCTGTTTATGACAGATTGCTTTTGCACTAGAAGTTTACTTAAAGAGTGATCTTTTTGCCTCAGGTACTTATTTTAGTACTTGAAGTGCTGACACTGTTCCCAGAGAAAAGCCAAAATGTGTGACACAAGTGAGACAAAAAGCAACAATAAATGACTTTATCAGAGATTTCCTCTTTTGTAAGGATTTATTTTGACCCCTTAGATGTATCTCACGACCCTCAGGGATGCCCTCACTGTTATCAGAACCCAAACCATATTAGAATATTTAGGCATTAACATGGTGACATTAGAAATGTTTGTTTGATGATCATTTACGAGGACGTTTTGCTTTGCCCTACAATGTATGCCATTTGTTTCTTTAAATGAATCAGTGACTCTCATGCAAAGAAATAAGGCTGTTGCTTCCTCTTTTTTTCCAGAGGTAGCATACAGGACTGGTGAGTAGTGTAACTTTGTCTCCATCTAGTGGCAAAACTGCACATTTCCGCCTCTGTGTCGCAGCTCACTCTTTACTTTTACCCTTTAACACTTCCTTTAACTGTCTTTTCTCAGCAATTTATTGCAACCTTTTTTGCTAGCTGCTATTAACACTTTGCTAATAGTGTTTAGTGTGTTTTACAGTGTTTTACATTTGGTGGGCTTTGTGTTTGGCTTTTTTTTCCTTCTGGCATTTTAGGAAAAATTACAGATGTTGAATGTCTTCTATTTATTTTTACAGTGCGGGAGAAAAGAAAGAGTCTCTTCATCAATAATGTGAGTGCACAGATTTTTCTGCTTCACTGCAAAAATTGAAACATGATATTTTTTCTTCTTCTTTATTCTTTTTGTGCACATTACCCTTGCATGCTATAGATGACACCAAAACATGTGAATTCTAATAACAGTCTTTTGTTTGTGTGTGTGTTTGTGTATTTGTAGCACGGAACTTTGAGGCGCAAATACAGCTCCTGCTCCACCATCTTCCTGGATGACAACACAGTCAGCCAGCCCAACCTCAAATACACCATCAAATGGTTGTAACACCAGGAAGGAAACATTTGTATTTTTTTTTAAACCTACATGCTTTTCTGATATTATTATAAACATTTCTTTCTGTCTACAGTGTAGCATTGGCAATATACTACCATATAAAAAACAGGTAAGGATTCTCATGTTACCTAAAGACTGCCAGTTAATATCTGGGCATCTGATATCAAGGACAATATATTCAGTTTATCCCAAAATCTAAAGGCAGAACTGCTGCCTATTCTGGATGGTTTATTTGTGCTTCTCTTTGTCTTTTTTAAGCTTTTTATGATGAATGCACAACATTACATCTATAATTCAGCACAGTTTGAAGTCTGTACTTATGTTTAATCTTCTCACAGTGTCAAGGGTGTCTGGACTGTTGAAGGATTCAATGTGAGAGATGCAAGAAATAAGAGTTATCAGAATAAAACAGGATGAAGAACTTCTAGAACTGAAACAAGAATGCACGAAACACGACACTAAAGAATAACTAAGAACAAACTAATTCAGGAGGGAAAAAATAAGGACGTTGCTAAACAAAATCTGGAAACCAAAACAGAAATCTAAACTTCAAGTCCCAGAATAACACGTAAAGAATTCCAAACCCCACGCAATGACAAACGGCAGGACCTTGACGAGTGTATACTTCTGTGACAGTGATCTGTGTTTTTGGATTTAAGGAAGCTTCAAACTGTTCAGACTCTTCTTGAAACTGTTTCAGTTGCAGTGATCTTTATCCATAACGTAGCCATAATAGTCTACTTTAAAATAGTTAATATGCATCTCTTTACCCAAAACTCCATGGCATTTACAGTTTGTGAACATCTCCGTTTTTGCTACGGTAGTAGCTCACTGTGGCTAGCACACTGAAGCGTACCCTGCCTTTCGCTCTGTGAGAACTGGAATAGGCTCCAGGCTCTTTGACCCTGGATTGGATGAGTGTTTGAGAAAGTGGATGGATAGAAGAGGGGAAAAATAAATGTTTTATTCCTTTTCAGAGATGCAGACGGTGGGACGCTATTAGATATCTTTGATGAGAGGCTTCACCCTCTCTCGGTAATATAAACGATTTCATTTTTAAATCTGTTGACTATCCTGCTGCTCGTTTTGGCAAACCTGTGTCAGATGTTCTGTTGTATTTTTAATGCACCTTGGTAGACTCTGGTTCTGTGTGTTAAGATTTTTTTCTCTCCCATTTTAAACCCTTTATTTTTGCTCTCACCGTCTGTTGCTTCATTTTCACTTGCGCACTTTTCTTTATGCCTTGTTGTCTTTGTCACCATACTCTCTGTTTTGGCTTTTCTTCTTCCTCGCAAAATTGTCATCCACCATCATCCACTTTTCTCACTTTCCCTGATGGTTGTTCTTCTTTTATCCAATCTCTGCTTCCCTTCATTTATCCAGAAATCAGAGGTTCCACCGGACTACAATCAACACGATCCGGAGCAGAAGCAGATTTACCGTTTTGTCAGGACACTGTTCAGTGCTGCTCAGCTCACTGCTGAGTGTGCAATTGTCACACTGGTGAGGCTTATTTATTTGTGTATTGCCATTAAATAATGCATACAAAAAAAAGGTATCTTCATGACACTTTGCCCCCCTAAGGTGAGATAAGATGGACCTTTCAGTTGTGCGCACACAATTTGTGTTTAGGCCCCTGGGAAATTGCAGCCTGATATGTTCCGACAACCCAGGCATGTGTGCAAATTGTTGATGAGACTATGCATCATAACTACTGTGATGCATGTGACTATTGTGGGCTCTGAGAGATCAGTGATGAATGTAGTTTGTCATACAGGGGAAAAAAAACCAAACAGTCGTTTAACTCCCGACACTATTAGTTAGATCAAATCAGGTTCTGTTAGTAAACTGTTTTTTCCATGTTAATGATTATCTGCTGCTTTAATTTTCTATCTAGTTTTCAGTCTTTATCCATGTGATTGTGCAGGTTTATCTGGAGAGGCTCCTGACCTATGCAGAGATTGACATCTGTCCAGGAAACTGGAAGAGGATCGTTCTGGGTGCTATCCTGCTGGCTTCCAAAGTCTGGGATGATCAAGCTGTCTGGAATGTCGACTACTGTCAGATTCTCAAGGACATCACAGTAGAGGACATGTGAGTGATTAGCATTAAGGATGGGAATGGTTTTGAAATTTAGGATTTTATTCAAGGTTTAAGGTTTGAATTCGGAGTAGGTTGGGGACTGGGTCAAAATTTAAAAATAGACAGAAAAGAAAACGACAAGCAGCCCGAGAAAAACCGGAACGATGCTCATGAGAGTTGGTGTGATAAGCTTCTTCATCAAGTCATAGATTTAAATCCTCAAGGTTTCAAACAAATACATAAAGGGAATGAAAGACTCAACAACATCTAACTTTGAACTTTGAAAGATGATTTGTGATTTCAAGGAGCTGTTTTTTCTTCTTGATATCACAAAGAAAACATCTTTAAAAAGTCACTGGGGGAGTGCACTGACACAGAAATTGTATGATCATGCGACCAGGAACGAATTGGAGCGACAGTTTCTGGAGCTGCTGCAGTTCAACATCAACGTGCCGTCCAGCGTCTACGCCAAGTACTACTTTGACCTGCGATCTCTCTCAGAGTCGAACAACCTCAGCTTCCCCCTGGAGCCGCTCAGCAGGGAGAAAGCTCAAAAACTGGAGGTGAGACGTCACCGTTAAGGTTTCCATCCGAATTTTTTTTTCTTTCTTTTCTATCCATCAAATTACTACATTTTCCCCTTGATTAGTAATCGATGAAAATAAAGAAACTCAAAGCCAATAAATATAGGAGTTATAAATTGTTCCAGATTGTAACAATTCAGCTTTGCCCGATTGCCACCATTATTTCTCAGGGTTAGCAACATAGAGAAGGGAACTAAAGGGATAAGTCAAGTACTGCATTTATTAAAACTAGTTAACTAAAAAGAACCAATTATGTAGCGTGGAGAGACTTTGCTCCTGTAGAGCCTGCTGGCTGTAAGAGACTGTGCATGTCGGAGGTGTCACTGACTGATCAGGGCAACTAATTGCTGATTGGGCTTTCAATTTTGTTTGTATAGCGCCAAGGTGCTTTATTTTGTAAGGTAAAGACTCCACAACAATACAGAGAAAATCCCAATAATCAGACGACCGTCTACGAGCAAAGTACTGGGCAACAGCAGGAAGGAAAAACTCTCTTTTAAGAGGCCGAGGGGAAGAAGAAAACCAGTTTAGCAGGATAGGACAATTACCTTTACAGATCTTCCGGTGTATTGAAAATGTGTAAAGGGGCGTCAAATTGCACTATTTACTTTTAAACAAGATTTGAAAAGTTTTCTAGAAACTAAAATGTTAATGCTACAATCACATTAAAGCCCTGCACGCAGCCAAATGACAACGATATCTTAAAATTCCTTTATGCCCTTTTTGCAGGCCATCTCCAGGCTATGTGATGACAAGTACAAAGACGTGCGGAAAGCTGCCAGGAAGCGCTCGGCGAGCATGGACAATCTATGCGGGATCCGATGGGTTCCTGCAATCCTCTCTTAACCACTAATATGCTGTCATATAGTGAAGAGTGACATCGTGCTACAGACGCTGCCTGAAGGAGAAAACGTGTGTTTGTGCTCAGTGGAAGTGTGTCAGTGTGCATGGACCCAGGATGCAAAGCTACATTCTGGAACAGCGAGTGTAACCTGGCACCATCCAATGGACCTGGAGTCAAGAATCGCAAACTACAGTTTAAGCGAACAAGACGTGTTTCTACTTTAACTTAATGCCTTCATAGTGCCTCGATATTTTTGTACTGTGAGAGGGAAGGGAGTTACTGGTTGCCACGTCAACCATTCAAAGACATTCGGAGACAACTCTAGTTTTGGAGTATAAAGGAAATCCAGGACAAGACAAAGGTCTGAAACTTTTGAGGACATGGCATTGTCAACCTGTCTCAGTGTAAAAAGTCTCAGTTCGGCTTTCTGGTTTTGTCCAGACAAATCTCTCGGTTTTAACTAGCTTCAGAGATTCTAAATAACCTGTCTTTCAGATAACCCTGCGTATTATTTATTTATTTTCTAAGTACTTTTCAAAATTTTCAACTGTGTTTGGCAATTAGTAGTGTAGCACAGGACTTTCTACTGGTTATTTATTTCTTTGATGGGAGTAAGAATAATAAAGATTTCTTCTCTGGAAATATTCAAGGTTTACAGTTCTAGTGTACTTCTTTATGCTCAGGTAGTCTGGTTGATATGTCGATTGACTGTAATGCTCCTCATTTCAGTTATTGGGAGGATAAATGAGATTAGATAATGAAATAAACACCATAGAAAGAAAGGGCTAGAATACATTTAAAGTATCCCTATAGATGTATCAGTATAGCAAAAATCACCAGGTTTTCCTTCAGTAGCATGACTCCACCAATTCAAAAGCAGGAGACAGCACGACCCTCTGCTGACATCTAGTGGTCATTTGAGGTGTTGCAGAAAAAGGCTGCCAGTCCAGGGTAGGACTGGACGAAGTTACATGTTACCTTACGTGTTAACATTACTTCGAAAAAGTATCTGCAACACATGTTTCAGAGAAAATTTTTCCTATCATCCCAAATAATCCACATTTCTTGCAGTGAACCGTCTTTATAGACGTTATAGTCAAATTATACACAGTAATTTTTGTTACTGGCTGAATGGGAAAAAAAAGAGAAAAGATAGGTGAAAAGATGGAAAGTTGTTTTGTACTGAACATTTATTTAACAAAACAATATCCATTTACTGTCAAACTCAAATGTGCTGTTGCTACTTAACAAAATGTTTTATAGTCAAGTAAAATTTAATGTCTAACTTCAAACAAAGAGAATGACATAACTGGTCTGACAAGTGCACTGACCACTGGATGCTGATCTATTGCAGATGTGAGGAGGCTACCCAACATTCCTATGTTTATATATGTTCAGTATTATAGCATTACTGACTGTATATATCACATTTACTGTTCATCTGGAAAATCTGGTAAAAAGCCCCGGTCTCATGAGCTTCATGCTCAGTGTATCCTACCCTGGCTACTGTCTTTATTACAGTATTAACATGTTCTTGGATGGATGCTTGAAGGACTTGCTGACATGTCTGGGTTAAAGGGTTTCTGTTTTGCAACTTCTCAAACCCTGTGAAACCCAAAGTTCCTCAAATATAGGGGTAAGCCAAAAAAGAGAGCTGTTTTCCTTGTGTTTGATGAGGTCATTTTTGTAGTTATACAAGTTTTCACAGGACATGTTAGTAAGATAGCACGCAACTAAATAACAATATGAACCAAAGAAAAGTGTATTAATTGTATGACTGCAACTTCACAAATATCTAATGCCTCAAATCCCACAAAGTTCTTCTCTCATACCCCAAAATATTTTTTTTTATTAGAAGCAAAGTAAACACAGGTCTTATCTACTAGTTATGTATGATTGGTAGTCTTTGATCATCAACAACGTGTCCTTGATAAAGGGTGTCTTGAATCCCTGTGTTTAATCATGACAAGCTAGTACTACTGCTTAATCTTTAAATTTCCACTCACCTTTAAAAACTTTGTTTTGTAATTTGGTTTTTCTCATTTGGGCAAGATATGAATTTTTCCATGTTTCTTTTCACCTCAGTGTCTCAACGCTAAAGCAGTAAAATATAGAAATATAGTGTAGTTATTTTGGAAATTAACTTTGTACAGTGTGTAAAGAGTTCAAAAACTGAAACAGGTTAAATTTAAGTTATTTATGGATGTGACTGATTTGTGTTTTTAATTAAAACAAAATATTCTCGTTTGATAAGTCGTTGTCCTTTAATTATTTTTTATGTTTTTATGGTCATGTTGTAATTATGCTTCTGGTGTTATCTAATTAGTATCAAATTAATTATTTTGTGGTGTGACTGCCTGTTTCACTTTAGCGGATGATTAACAGATAACAAACCTGGCCATGTCTGAGTGTGACGGCCAGTTTCCAGTAAAGTTGACTTGTACCTAGACATCCCAACAATGCTTTGATGGCAGCACGGTAAGAATAGCTCTCTCCGCAGGTCCTGTGCTCTGCAGACAGGGTAAGAGGCACTATCAGCGCGTTAGAGGTCAGTGTGTTTAGTGGGGAGCGCTGACGATCAGCATTGTGATTTTAGAAGCAAGTTAAAGGAGAGAGCAACTCGGGGGACATCACCTCGAAACATCATCAGAAGTCGGACTTGCCAGTTTAAAAGAGGCGTTGAATGAGGATGATGGGGGCAAAAGAGATATTCTTCATCACTATAAATCAAAATGTGTCCTTTATTGGTAAGTCTGTGTGGCAGAATATTCAAATTAACGAGTGAAATCATTAAAACGTTTTCATGAATTATTTGTGTATAAGCGGGTGCTTTATAATGATTTATCACTCTAACACGACACAAGGATTTCCTGTGACAATTTACTGTTGCTATTATTTTTAAATTACTAACATTAATGCATTATATGCTTATTTAGCTGTATTTAACTTTACTTAAAAAAAAATACAGCTTCTTATTAGGCATTGAAAAGATTTGGTAGCACATATTCAGACATATTCACCATCTCCATTACAGGCAAAACCTGGTGGATACTGATGTTGGTTTTCCGTCTGCTTGTCCTCCTCCTGGCCGGCTTCACGCTCTTTAGTGACGAACAGGACAGATTTAACTGTAACACCATGCAGCCAGGCTGCTCTAACGTGTGCTTTGATCTATTTGCTCCCGTCTCTGTCCTCCGTCTCTGGCTCTTCCACCTTACTCTTCTCGGTCTTCCCCATTTGATGTTTGCCACCTACATCATGCACAAAGTTTTGTCATGTCCCTATTTTGGAGGTTTCTACTGGGGCAGGAGTCGAGGAGGCTCGCCTTGCAGCGAGAATTCAGAATCCTCGAGAGAGTCGTCCTCGCATAAAGCCATGCTTCATGACCTCCCACTTGGGAGGTCATGCGTGGGAGCGCCACGCTTCTACGGCGCTTACTTTGTAGTTATAATTCTACGAATTCTTCTAGAAGCTATTTTTAGCGCAGCCCAGTTCTTTCTCTTTGGTTTGTCGATTCCTAAGAGTTTCCTCTGTTATGAGGCTCCCTGCACATCTGGAGTTGAATGCTACATATCCAGACCAACAGAAAAGAACTTAATGCTCAACTTCATGCTCTGCGTTGCGTTTTTATCAGTCCTGTTAAGTTTGGTTGATTTGGTGAACTCTGTGAAAGCAATGCTGAGGTGGAGGAGGAAGAAGGAGATGCTGATGGAGGAGATAAGTAATAGAGAGCAAAACAGCATGTTTAGAGTGGCAACTGTGACAGAAGACACTGATATTCTTTTAACCAGACGATCCAGCCCAAGTGGAAGCTCAAAGGTGAATGGCCTCAGAGATGAAAAACCTGCTGATGGAGTTGTGCCAAATAGTGGACTTTTTCAAACGAAGGCGAGTGTTGGGACCACGGTTAGAACTAGTGCAGCTAATGACAAGAGGCCAGAAAATACAGATGGCAAAGAGGTGATGCCTCGGTCACCAACAAGCACTTCAGTGTCATCTCACTTTGCCCCTCAGCACCACTTAAAACCTCCACTGTTCTCTCAAACAGACAAGGGATCACCAACGAACCCCAGAGCAACAACACCAATCCGGCAGTGTCGTAACGACGGCTCTCAAGACAAGAGAGCATGGGTCTAATTGGCTGACCGTGGCTGTTCATTATTGGCCCTGCACACACATTTACCTCATTAACAAAACCAAATATTTTGTTAGATGTGAATAAATAAATTCTTCTTTACCAGGAAGTTCTGGGAATTATGGACTAATACAATTTACAGTTGATAAAATACTGTAAATTCTGAAATAGGGACCTCATAGCGAGAGCCCTGCAGCTTCCTCCAGCTCTACAGAACTTTTTTATTATCTTTTAGCATGTTGTTTTGATTTGATGACCACTCCACTCTCATAAAATGTGTTTATCCTTTTAATTTTGCAGAAAAATAAAGTTACCAGCTAGAAACCTAAAGTTGTGTTTCTACTAATGAATACAGATATTGTTGGAGATTAACACCAGAGCTAAAAGGAGAAGGAAAACGGTCCTAACCATGCTGTAGTGCTTCTCTATACATGTAAACACAAATGCTAACTAACATGTACATCATGCCAACATTAAAAGAACATAATGTGTCAGAGTTTTGTTTTACATTTTCTTCAATTTCCTCCAAGTGGCTCAAAATCATTTAATGCTGCTTTAAAACACACAGTGCAGATTTTGTATTTCAGCATGTCAAATGTTACATGTTGAGCAGCTACATATTAGAAATAAATACATTTCTTTCATGATAAAAAAAAGCTAAATTTTAAGAATCAAAGCCATCTTGATACAACAAAATTCACTGTTAACTCTATGAAACAGTCATGGCAGGTCTGAGCATGTTTATTTTACACCCTGAGCTATTTGTGTTTCATTATGAGAAAAGGAGGCGTTCAAAATAAGTAAGGAAAAAATCCCCGACTGCTTCATCGAGGCTGACCTTAATAAAGTAGCGGTAACAGTGCTCAGCTGTTGTCTGGATTACTGTGTCTGGCAGTGCGTCTAGCAGCCACAACCAATGCACACCAACCTGACTTCTGACCTCTCATATGACCAGCTGATGACCTCGGCATGACCTGACTTAAGCTAACCCTGCTCAGGTTACATCAGACTTCAGCCTAGTCACCTCCATCAAACAAGATCAGCTCAACATGCAAAGCAAACTTTTACATTTTAACGTGCAGGTCAGGGAGTGCTGCTGCTAAAAAGATGAAATAATGCCATCATGACACATTAGATCTATTCTTTGCTTTTTTCTGACAGTAAAGGTGCACAGTTTGTTTCTAATGAAGGAGAACATCAACAGAGTACAGGAGTAGTTGATGGGCACTTGATGAATGTTTTCTGTGAATGTCAGGCTTTACATTGCTGTTGTTTCAGCATTTGAGTAATCTACTCTCTCCCGTGAGTAACTGATTATTTGTTGTGCGTCTTTTATTATTTGTCTCACAGTAAGAACTGTTGGTTTGTAGAGTACGCTTGGGGAGTGTGATTGTGTGTACAGCGTCTCTTTATGTCTATCTCCATGTTGGTTGAGTGTGGAGTGAGTGCACATGA